TATTGGAGGCTCTTCGCCTGCTTCAGTTATCTGTTTGCCTGGGATCAGTTTGGGATGCTATCTGGTTGGTTGTCACTTGGTTGATACATATGGTTCCATGATCTGCAAGAGAATCTTCAGTGATTACAGCCGTCTCATTAGCGGATAGTCATGCATTTATGTAAAAAAATAGCAATGAGAAAAAACAAAGTAAAGAAAAGAAAAAAAAACATAGATAGAGATATGTGGCAGTATATCCAAGAGAGGATGGAAAAAAAAAACTAATATGTTATCATATTACAATTTTGTTCTTAATGTTTCTGGAATAGTGTGTTGATGTCATCAAGATGGGAGGCAAGGTTGGCTGCATGATCACCCATGGCCCATGGGTATTCATTGGAATTCCGAAGTCTGTGGAGGTGAAATTCTGATTCTAGTGAGAGTACACCTTTATTTCGTATTATATATGGTGACATATTGAGGGGTGACTTTGCTTGGTACAAGGCTTGGAACACAAAGACAGGGATGAAACTAAGTCTTCAAGGGCCTTCTAGTCTGGTTTGTTCCATGGCTATCACGGATGAGATGCTGTTTGCTGGTACGGGAGATGGTCGCATCATGGCCTGGAAATTTCCTTCTAAGGAGAGTAACATTGAACCAGTGTTGATCCTCAGTGGCCATCAACGTCCAGTTGTTTCACTGTCTATCTCAGCAAGAAGACTTTACTCTGGCTCACTTGACAAGACCATCAAAGTATGGATTTTTCCTCAAGATATCGCTCAATTGACCACTGAATGTTATGTTGGTTCTGATGCATTCTTTATTTCTTTGTATTTACCAGGCATGGGACCTTACGACTCGGCAGTGTGTCCAAACACTCTTTGAGCATAAAGCTGCTGTAACATCTGTGCTTTGGGATGAGAAGTTATTATCTTGCTCCCTTGACAAGACTGTAAAGGTCTGGACTCTGTCAGAGTCTGGAAACCTTCAAGCCAAATATACTCATGCTGAGGAGCATGTAAGAACTGCACTCCTGCTGATCATGCATTATTTTTGTTTTGTTGGATGCTGCAGACTGTGTATAACTAAATAGTTTATGGCAACAACATTTTTATAGTTGTATAACTAAGTTTTACTAGTTAAGAACAACATTTACATATTTTGATGAATATTGGTACTGCCCAAAGTTCAGCAAAGAAGAAGTATAGCGTGCGAAAACTATGTTGCTTATTTCAATAATAATAACTGAATTTTGTGTGAATAATAACATTGCTGATTTGTTGTTTTTGTTCATGCCTTCCAGTCCTTCTAGTTTCATTGATCAATTCTGTTTTTTGTGTGCTACTCCATTGATCAGCTTATGTCTATTCTCAATTGACAATGTAATGACTCTGTTCTACTTTTTTTTGGGGTATAAGAATAACCTGCCTTATACAGAAATATGATAGTTTCAATGGCTCTGTACTCCTATGTAGCGAATACTTCTAAAAATCAAGCAGATCTGTCCTCAAATGTCTTTTTCCTTTTTGTTGCCACGATCAGTTTTCCTCTGTACATCTGCTTGTCTCATGGTCTTAATTGTTGGGAGTCCATTTGCTTTTGGCCAAGAAATATGATTCATAAATGTAGTCTCTGAGGTAGGTGTTGGCATAGGCATATGCTGGAACCTCTCAACATTGGGTCTTCTTGCTTGCATATGGGAGATAGCTTGTCTGGTTGGTCTTCTTGGTCGACTGGAGTTTATCTGATGAACCTGGAAAATTTAGTGATTGGAGTTTCTATATACTGATATAAGCCTCATTGGATGAGAACTTTAGGAGGTCTGCTCAGTTCATCTATTTGCCTCGAAGACTTGAAGAGTGTGGAGTACTGAGTATCTTAGAATTATAAAAACAACTTCTAGAGCATTATGTTTGAACTGATTGCCTATCATAAAAAGTTTAGTCTGCATGCAGGAAGAACTAATGAAATTTCCTGGCCATTGTTCTAGCTCAGCAGCAGTTTTTTTTCCTTCTACTTTCTAGTCTACCTGTATTTCAAAATGTTCCCCTCACTGTATTATTCTCTTTAGTACTTTTGACTTGGAACAAGTTAAAAAAAATATTTTTAAGCTTTTTCATAAGATGGTCTGAGAAAAATTGCTGCCTTGGTGTGCTTGATCAGGGAAATTACACAAAGAGTACAATTATGCAAGTGCAATGAGAGTGTGCTGTGTTTCCCCCTTCCTTTTAAATTGGTTTGTTCACAACAGCTCTAGGCTGTTTCCCTGCTGTTTAACCTTTCCGATTCTGTTGCAGGGTTTGCGCACACTCTTCGGCATGCACCGAGTTGGGAAGACGCCAGTTCTCTTCTGCTCCCTCCACAACAGCAATTGCATCCGTTTGCTCGACTTGCCATCGTGAGTGCATAAAAATTTCTCAGTTCCATCAGGTGGACAAACCGCTTGCACCGTTGTTGTGGTGCTCAGTGGTTCCTTACTGAAAGGAGCTCTGCATTTCCTTGGTTACTATCTTACAGGTTCGACGGGATGGGCACACTCTTCGCCAAGAAGGAAGTGAGGACCATCGAGCTCGCAGCTGGTGGGCTGCTCTTCACCGGAGACTGCTCCGGCGAGCTGAAAGTGTGGAGGTGGGCGCCCCAGGACCAGGAGGCAGTGGCGGATGTGCATTCATAGTCATCTGTAATTCAGTGTAGCCTCATGAATGACAGCCACTGACGTGCTATTGTATTTGTATCCATGTAAATTATGGCAGCTCTGAAGTCAAGCCTAGATGATGTAGCACAAACCATTTTATGAGGCCTGATAAGTGATGCAACCCTGATATCATGTTCCCATGCGGCTCTCTTTAACTGCCCTGATTTGAGATGCGTGCCATTGCCATGTCCATCCAGAAGACAAAAGTGTCTATGGCCATGGTCGTGTGGATGCAGGCAGAAGACCAAGCGTGTAAGCTTTGTATACGAGCTCTCACCGAGTCACCATGCCGTGTGACATAGACTGCCTAACTCCAATTGACTCGGGTAATTGCTAGTTTAACGCCAAGAAACAAACACGTCCACCGATTCCGCCCACGGAGTCTGAAAAATAATGTCATTCTAGATTTGAACTAGGAGTTATAGAAAATATTATATTTTCTAAATAGATTTATTATAAAAATATATTTTATGATTCATCTAATGATATTTATTATGCGTCATAAACATCAACATATTTTTGTGTATATATTTGATGAGGTTGAGCCCTTGAAAAACGAGACAACGACGTTCTTTTTTTGGAACGAAAGGAGTACATACAAATGAAGCTGCTTGATAGTCCTTGTGATGCATACATATATACATGCATATACATTCATCCGTACCTACAACTGATGTTTGAGATCTGATTGTCCTTACTGTACATGTTATACATACGTACAAATGAAGTTTTGGGGCCTGACTGTCCGCGTTATACACATAGAGACATGCAAATGACGTTTGAGGCCTAATTATACGTGTAGCTTGCTCAAGATCAGGTCTTCTAAAAAGGGGAATATGCAGTAGCGTGTTTGCAAATGACGTTTGAGGCCCAATTATCCGTGCAGCTTGCTCAAGAGGTCTTCTAAAAAAGAATATACAATGGCTTGTTTGAGGTTTATTTCCTTTTTTTTATTTTCTGATGATAATTGAAGTAATCTAGCTATAGGCTTTGCGTATGTGTGATGGTAACCAATAATCTACGACCACCTTTATTTATTCATGTCAGCACTGTTGCTTAGCTTTTGTAGAGTGACTTTGTCTAAAGCTGGGAATATACCTCTCCAAGCATGCCATTAGTCGACGTACGGCAAGTCAAGTGCAATGCATGTGGTGAATGCTGAGGAAATAAGAGAAAACTAAGGCACTGCACCTCTGGTAAACTGGAGTACTCTACTTATCATCAGTTCACCACCAACCGACCTGGTCGCAAATGACCCTTTACCTGATCTTGTCGATGTCAGTTGTCAAATGCGTGCTATCTGATCATCAATCACGGAACAAGATTTTGTATTTTTATAGAAAATTAAATGACGGTGCCATCGAAGCAAAACGTGCAAACTGAGGAAGAATCACGCACCTCGATCCAAGCAAGTTTCTTTCACAAGTGACGGGTGTCTTTTCTTTTCCCCTCTCGCATTTCCCCCCTTTTTTAAGTGACCAGTTGAGGACTAGTTATTTGAAACAAAAGCAAAAAGGAAGGCTAACACGGGGTAGAGTGTCTTGTAGAGGGGGAGTCGACATAGACGGAGGGAGAGAGGAAAAGAAAATGTATGGTGCGTATTATTGCTCCTAGTCAGTACTGAATAGGAGGATAGACTGTTGGATCATCACCCAACGAGTGAAATTTTTTAGTGATATGTAGTATATAATAATACCTGAGTGTTCTATTTTTTTAAATAACACAATAGAACATCCAAGTGTTCTATTTTTTATAAAAAAATCAACTGATAACAAGCTTGTTGGACATATATTTTACTAATAATGTAATACATAAGAATTAACTTATAGTAATGAAGTAAAAAATACTACCACCACAAGACTTCTAACACGATGGATGTGAAAACAAAACAACCACATGACAAATACACAACCAACTGACCATTGAAGAACTGCAATCGACACGACGGATGTGAAAGTTTTACCCTTGAGGGCACATGCCCCATATGCAGATGCATGCATAGGGAGGAACCATGGGGTTCCTCAAGAAATGCCTCAAAAAAGTAAAAACAATATCCACAAATGTCGTCTAGGTCAAGTCTGAGATCTGGCCAATACTTTTTCAACTTAAACCTGGGGAGGTGCACAGATGAAATGAGAATATGATTTTACTCGGGGAGTACATGGTTTCACTTTATCACTATATATCTTCCATAACGTAAATAATGACCTTGACATCAGTGATCTATATATACATATTAATTAACAACCGCTGGTAATTCACATTATTAATCCAAGAAAGCATGTGTTTGCGTTCTGAGTTAGTGGCGATATGATGCATGGTATTATCAGTTGAAGATGTCCTGGCCGGGGGAGAGCAGCTTGTTGGGGTCGTACTTGTTCTTCATCTCCACGAAGCGATTCCACTTGACGGTGCCGAAGTGGCGGACCCAGTCACTGCGATTGGTGTAACGCGCCAGGTAGCTCTTGTACTGGATCCCGGCGAGGTCGCAGAAGCGCAGGATCCTCCGGTTCTGCTCCTTCAGCCTCGCTAGGTCGTTGGCCACCGACGAGAAGAGCAGCGACACTGCGTAGAACACGCCCTCCGACGGCGTCGCCGCCGACATGTCGTCGTCCCACCTGATGAATTAAAACCCAGAGAATCGAAGAGCGAGTCAGGGCGTGCACAGCTAGCTTGATGGTTTGCATACACAGGCGTCCGTGCACGTACATGGATTTGTTGAGGGGGTGGACGATGAGCGGGCCGACGATGTCGGTGCCCTGGAGGATGCCCTTGAAGACCCCGCGGTCCACGTCGGCGATGCGCGACCGCGGCACGAACATGTTGAGCCACGGGTGCGGCACTCGCCATAGCCCCAGCTTGTCGAGCGCCACCTCCTCGTTGTGCACCCGGTCCAGGAACTCCTCGTAGGTCACGTCGCGCTGGAACGCGAACCCCTCCACGAAGCTTAGCGTGTCCAGCACAGACTTGAGCTCCTGCATGCAAGCATGCCCGGCCCGGGGTAAGAGTAATCACCCATCACATCCATGCAAGCATCATGGTCATGGCGACCGAGAGCTATAGATGTGGTCAGTACCTGGTCCACCGACGTGGCGTTGTCGTAATTGATGGTGGCCTCGATGCTGTACACGGTGGTGGCGTTCTTCTCCCTCGCCAGCGCCACGATCCTGGCGACGTCGTCGGAGAAGAACTCCGTGTTCGTGAGGTCGGTGGCGAGGCTCTGGTTCACGAACACCGACCCCTCGACGTAGCTTATCGGACCAAACGCGCCGTCAGCCCGCGGGGCGATGAGCCGCTCCTGGTCGGCGGTGAACATGGCGAAGTCGGTGTAGACGAGCCTGTCAGCAGCTCTAGCCCGGCGGCACCTGAGAAAGAAGATGCTACTCCCAGCTTGCCTACCGGCCCACTTCCAATTAGGCCCAAAAGAGTCACGAAGCCCAGCTCTCGGGTGACTGGCCCATCCTGGATCAACTAGGAACAAAGTATAAGTAGCAAAGAGGAATTGGAGAGAGACATGAACAGAAATATGTAAACCCTAAATTCAGTTTTAATCATTCATGGTAGCTTTATCTCTGTAATTATGTTCTTCTTGTATTCCTTCCTGCCTTGGCGCCATTGGGTGCTAACACATGGTATCAGATGTCTCATTCCAATCCTGGCCATTACATCACCGCCACCGCCTCCTCCGCCGCCCCAACTCCGCACCACCACTACACAAGGCTCAATCGCGCTCGCGGCGCCATGGAACCGTCCTTGAAGCAAATCCTCGACGCGCTCAACTCCTGCTTCGACGAATTCGACCGCCGTCTCGATGACCGCGACCGCGTCTTCGCTGACCGCACCGGCTCTCGTCGACTCCCGCTTCACCACTCTGGAAACATCCATCTCCACCCAAGCTATCGGGCTCGAGCGGCGCTTGGCGGGGATCGAGTCGCGGCTTCCAGATCCGGTGTCCGTGTCCGTCGAACAACGCCTCGCCTCCCTCTAAGCATCCTTCGCCGACGGCCACGACCACCGCCTCACCACTCTAGAGACCAGCAACGACGTGACTGTCAAGATAGAGTTCGATCCGCGGGTGGCCACGCTCGAGAAGGTCTCTGCGGATCTACAAGCGTGGCGCCCAGGCATGGACGACGTCCTAGACGACATCCAGAAGGATGTCCAGAAGCTGGTGAAGAACCTCGACCGCCAGGCGTTCGATGATTCGTCTCACCGCTAGGTCGCGCTTCATTCACCACCGGCGGCGACTGCGTTGGCTTTGGCAACCGGTCTGCACGCCACACCGCCCAGCAGGCACCGCGTCGACATCAGTCCACGGGATGCTGGGTCTAGAGTCGTTATGACTTGGACCCATGTCCCGGCCAATGGTATGCTTTCTGACTATCACTCTCGTATTCCTGTACCTGACGTTCGTCCGCCGCCCGCCGTCATTCCTCTGCGTTCGGCGCCTGATCCAGTTCACCATCCACCCTCACATCTATTTCACCCCCCTCCACCACCCCATCCCAATTTTCATCCCAGACCCCTCCATCTCCAGAATTCCCCTCCTATACCAACCATTTACCCTCCCTACCCTGATCCCAACCGTCCCAACCAGCTGACTGGCCGGCTTCCTAAACTTCCCTTTCCAACGTTCGATGGGGTCAACCCGAAACGTTGGCGTTCCCTCTGTGAGAAATATTTCATCATGTATGCTGTCGATCCCTCTATCTGGATTGGTTTAGTCGAACACTATATGGAGGGTCCAGCAACAATTTGGTACCAATCTATCTCCCCCCAGCTACCCTTGGCCACTTGGGAGTCCTTTTGTCAATTGCTTCACGAACGCTTCGATCGTGATCAGCATGAGCATCTCCTTCGTCAAATGTTCAGTATCTGTCAACAGACATATGTCTCAGCTTATGTCACCGCATTTTCACAGTTAGTCGATCAGCTCATTTTCTATTCTCCTAATGTCGACCCACTATTCTTCACTCAGCGTTTCATTGATGGACTTCGTTCAGACATTAGAGCAGTAATTCTTGTTCAGCGTCCCCAAAATTTCGATGCTGCTGTTCGTCTCGCTTTACTGTAGGAAGAGGTGGGCATGGCTCCTAATCTGCGAGCCCCGCGTGGAGGTGATTGGCCGGCTGCTTTTCGTCCCCGACTGCCAGTGGCCACAGCATCTCCCCTACCGCTGCCCCCGCCTCCACCACGTGCTGACAAGGCGGTGCCCCTAGTAGCTGCTGCTCCGGTCGGGGCGACTGCTCAGACCAACAATCAAACCATGGCGGTTGTCAAGGTGTATCAGCGGGCTCTTGGTCTGTGTTTCAAATGCAACACCAAGTGGAGTAAGGATCATGTCTGTGCTCCCGAGGTCCTGCATGTAGTCGATGCTCTCTGGGAGTCATTTTCTTCAGAAGATTCGTTGGCTGATTCTGTTGAGGAGTTTCCACCTATAGAACAGTGTTGCTTAGCCCTCTCCAAATCTGCATTTTTTGGTGTGCCAACTTCTCGCTCGATTTGCTTCGCCGGCTTGTTACAGTCAATACCAGTGTAGATTCTGGTCGACTCAGGCAATTCCTCATCCTTTGTGAATCAAGCCTTGGTCCCTCGCTTGACCGGTGTGGTTTCAGTCCCAATGTCTACCTCTATCTTGGTTACTGGTGGGACTCAGCTCACCACCTTGGCAGTGCTGCTTCAAGTTCCTTGGTCAGTTGGTGATTGCTCTTTTCAGTCTGACTTCAGGGTGCTACCACTGGGCACCTTTGATGTGGTGATTGGCATGGATTGGTTGGCAACTTACAGTCCCATGCAGATTCATTGGCAGGAAAAGTGGATGGCGATTCCATACCATGGATAGTTAACTGTGTTGCAGGGGCTTCCAACTTCCTTTCCTTAGCAACTGTTACTTCACATTGCTTCAGTAGATGCTGTTGACCAAGCTGAACAGGATTTGCAGCCGTTGCCAGTTGAGCTACAGTCACTGTTGGATGCTTACTCTGATTTGTTCGAGCCACCTACTTCCTTGCCACCGTCAAGGGCCTGTGATCATGAGATACCTCTGATACCTAGAGCCGCACCTGTCCTTGTGAGACCTTATTGGTACCCACCGAAGCTCAAGGACGAGATTGAGAAACAAGTGCAAGAAATGTTATCACAGGGGTTGATTTGCCATAGCCATAGCTCCTTCTCTTCTCCAGTACTCTTGGTTCGTAAAAAGGATGGCAGCTACCGATTTTGTGTGGATTTTCGTCCCCTCAATGCCTTGACATTGAAGTCCAAGTTTCTTGTACCGGTCTTCGACCAACTCATGGATAGGTTAGCACATGCCCGCTGGTTTTCTACTCTGGACCTCCGGGCCGGCTTTCATCAGATTCTGTTGCGCGAAGGTGAGGAATTCAAAACGGCATTCCAAACCCACCTAGGCCAGTACGAGTTCCGGGTGATGGCATTTGGACTCACAGGAGCACCAGGTACATTCCAAGGTGCGATGAACACCACCCTTGCTCCTGGACTACGCAAATTCGTCATTGTCTTTTTTGACGACATACTGGTGTTCAGTCCTTCATTTGAGTCTCATGTCATGCATCTTCAACAAGTCTTTGATTGGCTCCGACGCGATCAATGGAAGTTGAAAAAATCCAAATGCAGTTTTGCTCGGCAACCATATCCTACCTCGGCCATGTGATTAATGCAGCTGGCTTGTCTACTGATCCTGCGAAGGTGCGTGCTGTTGCAGATTGGCCAGTACCATCCAATATCAGAGAACTCCGTGGCTTTCTCGGATTGGCAGGTTATTATCGGAAATTCGTCAGACATTTCGGTATCCTTGCTAAGCCCTTAACTGAGTTGCTCAAGAAGGATCAAGTCTTTGTGTGGACCCCTGCTCATGCTGAAGCCTTTGCGCTGCTCAAAGCTGCTCTATGTTCAGCCCCAGTCCTAGCTCTTCCAGATTTTAATCAGCCATTCCACATAGAGACTGATGCTTCGGGTTCTGGGATTGGAGCTGTTTTACAGCAAGACGGTCATCCTATTGCCTTTATTAGCAAGCCACTTAGCAAGAGGAATCAAGGCCTCACTGTCTACGAGAAGGAATATTTGGCAATCTTGTTGGCAGTGGATCATTGGCGACATTACCTTCTCTAGGCCGAGTTCTATATTCACACGGATCATCAAAGTCTAACACACCTCAACGACCAACGCCTTCATACCACATGGCAGCAAAAGGTGTGTTTGCTCGTCTAATGGGTCTCCAATACAAGATTCTGTACAAGAAGGGAACCGAGAACAGAGCTACTGATGCCTTGTCTTGGCGTCGCCATCTCGAGCAACTTATGGTTATCTCATCTATTACACATCAGTGGTTGGATGTAGTGGTGCTTAGCTATCATGCTGATTCTGAGGCTACCAAGCTACTGTCACAATTGGCTATCAACCCGGAGTCTGTTCCTCAGTACTCGTTGGTCCAAGGTGTGATTCGCTACAAGGGGCACATTTGGCTAGGATCTAGTAAAGCCATCCAACAACAAGTCTTGACAGCCTTTCATGCTAGCCCGATGGGGGGTCACTCAGGTGCCCTAGCCACATACTCCAGACTGAAACGTCTCTTCTTCTGGACTGGCATGAAAGCTGATAT